AGCTCTAAGGGAAACACTGGTGGCGTCCCTGGGTTTTTAAAATCTCCCCTTGACCGTGGGCTCGCCCAGTGTGAGAGGTGATGGGTGCACTGATGGGAGCCTCTAAAGGTTGGTCATCAAGGAGTGACCCTGTGGGGTTTGCACTCGTGGGGAGGGTGTGCAGGCACAGCAGCAGCAGACATCTGGGTGCAAAGCGGGAGGCAGCGGCGGGTGTGTGCAGGCCGCGGCACCCGGGCAGGGAGCATAGCAGCTCTGGTGCGGCCCACACGTTTCCTGGACTGTCCTTCCTGTCCCTGCTCAGGTGCTGGCGGCCATCTCTGTGAGCCATGAAAAGGCCGGAAGGAGACCAGACCTGCCAGAGAAGCCAGGGGAGTCCTGACTTGCCGGGATGCTCACTTCCTGTCGTGGGGAGCCAGCATCCTGGTGGGGGTCGGGTGACCTCAGGGAGTAGTTGATGGCCCGTTCAGTATCCTACAGTGTATTTGCCTTCATTTCCCAGAGGGCTCTAGGGAAGCAGCATACCTCTCTTTATCTTTCTACAAGGGTGTTTGTTTTGTTTTGTTTTGTTTTTTTGTAATTTTATGCTTTTGTGAGCACAAAGGAACAGAACCTGTGATTCGGTTTCTGTGGACTGTGGGCTACTTAGCTGTGTGCTGCTGTGTGTTGGGGGAAAGCCAGCTGTAGGATACAGTTGTGTTCCTTGTTTAATTTTAGTTGTACTTGACTCGAACTTGTCTCACTAAATCTGTTATCCCCAAGCCCACTTTGGTTGCTCCTGCCTGGCCATCTGTCTGTCTGCTTATCCATCTGCCTGCCTGTCATCCCCACCATCTGTCTGTCTATCCGTCTGTCATTTAGAGTAAGTGGAAACTGTGACCTTGAGCACGTGATGGGGAGGCCTGCCCTCCCAGTGCTCTGCTGCTGTCATATGTGACACGAGTACAGTGATGGTACCTTCGCGCCCCTCGCAGGAGGTGGGCAGATCTCGTGTGACTACTGCCACATGAGGATGGGAGAAGACACAGAGTGTGGTGGGCAGGCTGCAGGCCTCGGGTTGGGTGCTGTAGCTCCTGCTATTTATAATCATCTTTGAGAGTATGTGTCTCACTGTAATTTAGCTCCACCAAACCTGTCGGTCCTCTGGATTCTTGTTGGAACCAGAGCTGTGTATTGCTCTCATTTAGACTGTTCCATGGTGATCTTACTCTGTTTCAAAGTGATTGAAAAATTAGGGTTTTGTGTGTTTTGCTGGGCCTTTCTAAGTGGTCATGAAACTGACATGGTGGCTCCCCCGGGCGAATCGCCTCAGCGGCAGTTCATGGCCAGTGTCCGTGCTGGCCTCGGCCTTTCAGCTGTTGTTGGGCAGCAAGTAAGCTTGACTGATGATGGCGATTCCTAGGCTCCTGGTGACGAGGCACTAGCCACTCTGATCTGTGGCTTCATATATACTTATAACCAGGGCCCATCCGAGAGCCAGAGTCCTCCTGTTTATGCAGAGAGGGTCTGGGCCACCAAAGTGCCGGTGTACTCGTGCAGCTGCCTGGCCTGCCCACTGGCCGGGTGTGGGGCCCAGGCTGCGGGCATGAAGTGGGAGAGATGCCTTGTGTTCCCAGCTGCGGTTGCCAGTCACCCTGCGTCCCTGTGGCCCTAGACGGTGAATGTTCGCAGAACAAGACATGGCTGTGGTACCTGCCTGTGGCCGTAGTAGAGCAAACCGTCCCACCATGGCCAGGGGAGCTTTTCCACACAGCAGGAGAGTCATCACTTGAGTACTCTGTTTTCGTTTCTAATATTTAGATGTAAATCTCAGACTTCTAAACAGATAAGTATAAGGAAGAATTTAACTTTACTTTTTTAGGGGCACCTAGGTGGCTCAGTCGGTCAAGTGTCCAGCCCTTGATTTTGGGTCAGGTGGTGATCTCACGGTTGTGAGGTTGAGCCCTGCGTTATAACGGCTCTGTGCTCATTGTGGAGTCGGCTTGAGATTCTCTCTCTCCTTCTGCCCCTCCCCTACCTCACTTTTTCTCTTTCTCTAAAAAAATAAAAATTAACTTTATTTTTAAAACAATTTCTTTTTTATTTTTTAAAACAATTTTTATTTTAGATTTACTCGAAATGAAAAGATGGTATGCAGAGTTCCTGTATATATTCATCCTATAAGCCTCCTGAAATATTAGCATCTTGCACAGGTACTGTGTGGTTCCAGAGAGTAGGATGCTGACGCTGACTCAGAGCCATTCACTTCTGCACAGACTGGCCTGGGGTCCCAACCAGGAGCCCCCAGTGATGTCGCTGACTTGTCTCTCCTCCAGTCCCAGTGGTTGTCTCTTGTGACTGTGACACGTTTGAGGAGAGCTGGCTGGTATTTTGTAGAATGTTCCATAATCCAGGTTTGGCTACTGTGTGGTTGTGCTGAGGTGCCTGGTCCTGGGCATGCAGCCGTGAGTAGAGTGGGACAGGGTCACTCTTCAAACACTCCTCTCATTGGGGGATTTCTCCTTACAATTTAGAATTGGACACAATATAAAGATGAAAACAGGCCATAAGCAGGTGCTTAAGCACAGTGGAGTGGCTCCTTCCCAGCTCAGCCCTGCTGTGCTAGGTGGCCTCTATAGTGTCTGGTGGCACAAGCACATAGCATCTTGTCTTCCAGACCTTTTGCACAACAGCAGTGATGAGTACACCCTCTTCTGTGGTGTGTTTCCAGCTGCCTTGCGTGTGAGAGGGACCAGTTGCTGGGGAAGGGCAGTGTGTCCCGTGTGTCCTGTGTGTCCCTACTTGGCTCACTGTTCTGAGGCTGCCTTGCGGTTTCCATCCTCTGCTCTTGTTCCCACAGTGTCAAAGTTGATGGGAAGAACCTCCAACAAATTACATACCTTGGTTTGGTCAGTTATGATTTAACTTTACTAGTAAGAATCCTTCTGTTTTTCAGGATTTAAGTTTTATCTGAAATGTGCTCTGAGCATCCAGTGATTTTTGACAGGCAGATTGCTGAGATTCAGGGTGAGCATTTTGTTGGGAGGGCAGCTGGTAGTTCTATATCCTCATTGGGCAGCCTGCTCTATAGGTCTTCTCATGGGGCCAGGGGTAGGGGCAAGGCCTGGGGCCCAACCGCCTACCCAGGCAAGCCTGGACTTGCAGCCTCGGCACCCCCCCCCCAGCCTCTGGTGAAGGGGCACCCCAGGTATCACACCCAGGAGGCTCCCTGGACACTTGATTCTGAATCTGTAGTGGCTGCAGGCTTGTACAGAAGCTACAGTGAGGAGTGGAGAAGTCCGTTGGCAAGGCTAGGCCATACCTCTGACTGCACAGTCAGGCACTGGAAGCTTAGACCAAGCACTTGGGCATTTCTACTCTCTGGACACCATCATGAGGATGTCCTTTCCTCCTGAAAGGGCAGGTGTCAGGGATGGTATTTTTCCAGCAGAGCTCATCAGGGTGGAAGGATGCCCACCAGCCTTCTGGCCACTCTAAGTGGGACCTGAGCTGGGTCCCTCACTTGTGCAGAGTTCACTCCAGTGCACCAAGCGTCTACACCTTCTCAGTTGATGGTGCTTGGGGCAAGGGTAGGGCTGACTCCTGCCTCCTTTACTGGTACTAACTGGAGGCCCACAGATGGGAAGTGACCAGCTTGGGTCACACAGTGGCAGTGGATGCTGGGGACAGTTGTGACTTGGTTTGTTTTTTTGGTGATTTTTTTGTTTTTTTAGGGTGGGGGGAGGCAAGTGCTCCCTGGGAAAATATAATGAACAGATTTGATGCAAGTAGTGGTTTTTTTTTTTTTTTTTTTTTTTGGCAAGTAGTAATGTTTTAAAGAAGTTAACCTCGTACACAGTTCTTCCCCTAAGACCAGAATCTGGTGTGTGCTCACCTTCCTTTTCTCCGATTCTCAGAAAGGGTTGTCCCCCACTAGGCCCCAACACTGCCTGGACCCCTGCCTTGGAGCCCTACCCTCAGCGCCCCGCATCTGGGGGAAGAGTGCCAGGCACTCCGTGTGTCTGAGGCCAGACCCAGGAACGCTTCCCTCCCATAGCACCCAGTGAGTCATCTGTTGTCAGCCCGAGTTGATTGGCCAGTTTCTTGGAGTCCAGTTTAGCCTTTAGGGGTGCAGAGACCAACCTGATCTTGTGGGGGGTGAGAGTGTTGTGGCACAGAGTGGCTCATGTGGGGCCCCAGTGGCGGCCAGAGCCACAGAGCAGTGCAGGGTGAGCAGGACTGGGGGCAGGGGGCTGAGTGGCTGCTGGAGAATGAGTGCGCATTTTGGGCAGCTACTTTGTGAAGTGGCTTTAGCGGTTGACTAAGGAAGAGGCCTCTTGGCAGAAGGAAAAGATTGGGGGAGTTGTATAATTTCCTCTCGTTAATAACCCTGGTGTTCATGGGTCATCTTCTGTAGGAGTGAGCAGCACTCGCAGTGTGTGGCAGGTTTCAGCTAGGGAACTATGGAGGCTGTCGTCCGTGACGGTCCCCACCCCTGCAAAAGGCATTTACCTGGTCCTCTGCTGCACCACCAGCCAGGAAAGGGACAGGCTGCCACCCCCTGCTCCCCTGGGGCCGTGTCCGTTTTGATTCCCAGAGGCAGGCAGCACTGCAGAACAGGTCTGTCCTGTGTTGGGAGCCATGGGTGGGGAGCCCTGGTGTCACCAAGAGAAGGCGGGGCACCTTGGGAGCTTGGGGGTCCCCCCCCACCCCCCAGTGCAGGGTGGGGCTGCAGCCAATATATGTGAGCTCTGCTAGTCCTTTGTACGAAGGACCCAGGAGAGATGTGGGTTCCGGAGTCAGTGCCCCTCCCGATCAGGCGGGGAGCCTCCCGGGATCTTCCCAGAGTACTAGCCCACCCCGCGGCTCCTTCTAGGGTCTACAACCCTGTGGTGTGTCCGGCTCCAAAGAATGCGCCATCAAATACCCTTTGGGAGGGAGGATGACACGGACTGGAAGGGGTCCAGGGCGGACCCTGGCGTTACCCTCACACTCGGAATAACCTGTAACCCCTGTCCTTACAGGAAGACATGGCTGCTCACGTGGGAGCTTCCCGCACGCCGCAGGAGGTGATGGAGCATTACGTAAGCATGTACATCCACGGAAACCTGGGGAGAGCCTGCATCCCTGACACCATTCCCAACCGGGTGACCGACCACACGTGCCCTGGCGGAGGCCCCCTGTCCCCCAGCCTCACCACCCCCTTGCCTCCCCTAGACATCTCGGTGGCCGAGCAGCAGCAGCTGGGCTACATGCCCCTGCGTGACGACTACGAGATCGAGTACGACCAGGATGCTGAGACGCTCATCAGCGGGCTCTCAGTCAACTACGACGATGAGGATGTGGAGATCGAGCTGAAGCGTGCGCACGTGGACATGTATGTGCGCAAACTCAGGGAGAGGCAGCGGCGCAAGAACATCGCCCGCGACTACAACCTGGTGCCCGCCTTCCTGGGCAAGGACAAGAAGGACAAGGAGCGGCCGGCCAAGCGTAAGGTCACTAAGGAGGAGAAGGAGCTGCGGCTGAAGCTGCGGCCGCTATACCAATTCATGTCGTGCAAGGAGTTTGATGACCTGTTTGAGGGCATGCACAAGGAGAAGATGCTGCGGGCCAAGATCCGAGAGCTGCAGCGCTACCGGCGCAACGGCATCACCAAGCTGGAGGAGTCCGCCGAGTATGAGGCGGCCCGGCACAAGCGTGAGAAGAGGAAGGAGAACAAGAGCGCCGCCGGTGCCAAGAGGGGCAAGGAGGATGGCAAGGACAGTGAGTTTGCAGCCATCGAGAACCTGCCGGGCTTTGAGCTCCTGTCGGACCGCGAGAAGGTGCTCTGCAGCTCCTTGAACCTGAGCCCTGCGCGCTATGTCACCGTTAAGACCATCATCATCAAGGACCACCTCCAGAAGCGACAGGGGATCCCCTCCAAGAGCCGCCTCCCAAGCTATTTGGACAAAGTCCTAAAGAAAAGGATTTTAAACTTCCTCACAGAGAGTGGGTGGATATCCAGGGATGCGTCCTGAAAGTGTGGGTTTGTGGGCAGCCACCAGGCGCTCTGAGCCCAAGGGACCCGGGCGAGGGAGGGAACAACATGCTTCCCCCCACTGTTGCTCCTTTTTTAAACAAAGTGAGTTCCTTTCTTTTAGGCTATAAATTCTTTTCCTGGTTCTCTGAAAGAAGCAATAGTAACGATTTTATGTCGGATCATGGGGGAAGCCGACGTATGTATGTTTTAACTTAGTCCAAAAGTCCTACCTTAAGATGACGATTTGCCTTTACATGTTCAGTTTGGGGACTATTATGAGATTGGGTCATTTCCTTTCGTGTCTTCCCTTTGGTACGCAACTCTTGGGCTGCGGGTAAAAGGGGCAGCTTTCTGCTGGCCCCGGTAGCCAGCTTGACCCTGTGACATGACCTTTGGCTGGCTGCCGGGGGCACCCCTGGGCCCCTCCCCGCCCCCGACACCCCAGCACAGCCCCAGCACGCCGCACTTTAGGTGGGGGCCAGGGTGGGGCAGGTGGGAGGTGAGGCTGGAGAACCACAGGATGTTTCCTTGGGAGCCTTAGAGGAAGAGTCAGGTCGAAGTGTCCACATGAGCTTCCCCCTGACTCTTGGCATCGAGAAACTGGAGCTTGTTCTTTGGAGCCCCAAACTGCTCCTTGCCTCCTTTGCAGGGGGTAGAGCCTGCAGGCTCACCTCAGGCAAGCACCCAGCCCCTGGGCAGGCTCCCTAGTATGTGGAAGGGGCTCCAGAACTCTGAGCCAGCTTTCCAGGGGGCTGCTGCTTGCTGCTCCTAATACTTTCAGGACTAAGTACCCCACTTACTTGGGAGAACTCCTTTTAGAAAGTGGAACGCTGAGTTCTGGAGTCCACTTCCTCCAGGATTTTCACCGTGGTTGCAATAACCTTTTTCACCGAAGCTCTAGCCTTCTCCCTGCAAGCCTGGCTGAGAGTTGTATTTCAGGGGCTTGCAGTGCTCTCTGCAGCCCAGCCAGGCTGGACTGGGCTGCCCCACAGCAGGCTCTGGCCAAGCAGGAAGGGAGCCTTCAGGGTGAGGCACTGTGTGTGGCTTCTCCGGTCCCCGTCTTGGATCCCTCAGCTTCCACTCCGCTTCTGCCCAGCCCTACTGTTTCTGCAGGGGCCCTCTTCTGTCGGGGGACATGGTACCTTCCTTCTAGAACTTGAGTCAGTTCTTTGCCTTCCTGCTGCTCAGGGTTGGTTCTCATGGTGAAGATCCCACTTTAGTTGGGGTGACTACAGACCCCCAGCACTCCCATTCTTCGGGGAGCTCATCCTGCAGCTCCTGCCCCATTGCGACCAAGAGACTGTTTACCTCCCAGAATGTTTGGGCTTGAAATTACATTAAAGCAAAGTTATTTGAAAGACAAAAAGACCCTCATCATTTCCAAGGACTTAATTAAGGTGCCTTTTCCTTTCTTTTTACATCCTCCTGTCCCCCAGGGTAAATTTTTCAGCATTAAATAAAACATTTCAAATACCTCGTCTGTGGCTTTAGTTGTAAAGTATACTGCATGCTGGCAGGAAGTGTTCCTGGTTAGCTCAGCCCAGGAGTTTGACAGAAGAAACAGCGAGCAGAGGTAGGACTCCTGAGGCACCTCCATGTGTCCCCCTGCAGGGTAGCTGCTGTCCCCAGAGTGCGGGTTGGGTCTGCCACTGAGTGGTGATGGCGATGGGGCTTCGTTTTTACAGGGTCTTAGCCAGTGGTTTTCACTTGGGCTTCCTGGACCAGCAGCATCTCTGCCCCGGGAACCCGCTCGCAAACCTTAGTGGGGGGCCTTTGAGCTGCTGGGATGCTGGCTGGTTGAGCAGCGCTAGCTGTAGCTCCTCCGGGGCTTGTCACTCACCTATTTCCTCCATCAGGTTCCTGGTTTGGTGAGGTTCTCAATTTGGTATTTTATTATGAAATGGTTGCCCAACTTAAGCTTGAGAAGCACAAGGTCCCTGTAAATGAGTGGCCCATGCTGACACAGGCTGTCCAATGGGAAATTCTGTGCTTAAACAGGTTTTCAGTATGTTATCTTTTTGGGGGTATGAAGAATTTCTTTAGGTTTGACAGTCTTAAAAGTCGGTGAATGTTTAACTTAAAGTATTAGCAAGCTGTCACATGGAAAAGGTCACTTTGTCATTGGCTATCTCTTACCCCCTTCCCTCCAGCTCTGTGGGCCACATCAGGCCTTCTCACAGCCCTTAAACTTCCATATTTAATATGTGTCCCCTTAATTCCCAGAAATTAGGATTTTTCAAAATTTAAACTGTCTTGGAGTCCAAAAAGCTAGATAATTCAGCCACTCAAAAGAATGCTCTCTGGATGGCCCACATTCCAAGGGTATGTAAAAACGGTAACTACAATTTTTATCATTCTTTACACATTCAACAAGTTGGGAACAAAGCAGTGTCACTGCTGCATGTTGGCGTGAGCCAGCTTGCAGGGTTAGGACGGGGACTGCATGTGACAGATTTTAGCTCAGCACTTCTGTGTCAAACCAGTTTTTCCTCCAAAGTAGTAGTTAAATGTGCCATTAGGCAGAAATCCCTTCACACCTGCCCTCCTTCCCTGCAAGCGGCAGTTCAGCTGGGAAAGGGCAAGTCTTGCACAGATCCTGGTGGTGAAGGCCCAGTTGTCTGCACCAGATGTTGACGTCTGGGCTGAGGCCCGGCAAACCCTAGGCCCTGGACGGGAATGCCGTCACCAGGTCTGACCCCCCAGCGGAGGCAAAGCACATCCCCATCTGCCTCTGCAGCCTCCCAGTGATGGTGGCTCCAGCTGGACAAGGGAAGGGCTGCACACACTCAGAGAAATTCACTTGAAAATTACTTTATATAGTTTCAGTTTCAAGGAGTTGCAGGAAGGTGAAAGGAGAGCCTCACAGCTACACAGATGAAAAGTGGAGCTCTGACCCCAGTTGGGTTTTCTCTGTGCACTACACTGCCTGCAGTTCTGGGGCAAGTTTTTGACCAAGAATTTGAGATTGCTTAAAAGAAAAGAAAAGAATATTTTGAAACGGTATAAATTAAAATTTTAATTATAGGAATACTACCTATATCTCTGAAAATTATGAGTAAACTGCCCCACCTTCTTTACACAGTGAATGAATTTAATAGCATTGACCTTCAATCGCAGAAGTACCTATTACCAGAGACTGAAAGGTGGTATTTTCCCTGCTTTATGACAGATTGCTCACTTGACTCTGTGTGAATGAGGAATGGCAGGGCCTACGGTGCGGAGTAGACCCATGGGTGATCTTGCCCAGCTTCTGAGTGTGGGCAGGCCCTTGCCTGGTCGCCAACCTGAGGCGCTGTGGGACATCTGCACCCAGCAGAGGCCAGGTCCTGGGCCAGCCTGTGGCAGGAGGGAAGCTAACATCTGAGCGCGCATCTAGTGTCAAGCACTTTGCTTCAAGATGTGAGTGTAGAATGGAAAAGCTAAGTCACGCTTAGTGGAGGTGGGTCTCTTCCACCCAAGGACACAAAATAGCTTCTAGAAAGTAGGAAAATAAACATAGTAGGGCTTTAATCCTCTTAAATAAAATTTAAAAATTAAACATTAACATTTAAAATATACCAAGCGAGCAGTCCTCGGATTTTGAGAAAGTCCATCTTATAAGGGAAAATATCTTCAGGTCTCCAGTAAGTAGCTAATAGAGATCTGAAAATTTCTACAAATGGATGAACAACAGGGCAAAAAAGATTTTCTCAAATTCAGTAACCAGCAAAATAAGGCGGTTGAGACCTGTTGAGATGCATGTGCTCACTCCCGGTCTCCTGGGGGAGCCGGGGCTTGGGCATTTCAGCAGCTGGACAGTAATGAACTATAACTGAACTAACACATGTTCTTCAGCAGGGGCATCAAGAAGCTTTTCTGGGTGGGAAGGAACGTGCTTAGGGTCTCACCTTCCCTTCAATGAACGAAGGTATGGGCTGAGCACCCAGGACCCTGTGTGCCAGGGTGCCGGAGGGCCTGGTGAGGCTGGGTGGCCAGCCAGCCAAACAGCAGGGTTCTCGAAGGTGTTTTATTTGTTCATGGGATTTGGACACTACCAGGCTTTAAGCAGCTGGAGCTTTATCCTTGACACCCCACAGTCCAGTAGTGACCCGCCGGCCTGTTCTCTAAGCGTGCGCAGCTATTAAAGGTGTATTAGAAATCAATGAACAGACTCCCAAATTAAAGTTCATGAACACATCTGCGCAACCGGCTTAATTTTCTGTTTAGCCACTGGTTACTAAAGCTTTCCAACAAGGTTTGGGAAAGGGTCAAAAGTACTCATAGAGAAAATGAGCCAGGCTTTCAAGAGTGACAGCAAGTGATTACAAAAACCCCATGAAAGCCCTTCAGAGGCAGCTAAGCCTCCTTCACCACCCCCACCAGGGCAGGTCTCAGAGTGCGCCCATGCAGCTTGTACCCCACTTTGCTGACCAGTGCCACCGTGCCTGGCTCCTTCCCTTCCACCGGCGTGTGGAACAGGGCCTCGTGCTCGTAGGGATCGAACCTGGCCCCTACAGGGTTCAGCCGGAGTAAGCCATGCTTTGTGAACACCTTCTGGATCTGGACCTCGGTCATTACGAGCCCCTCGTAGAGGTTCTTCAGGTGAGGATTGTCGTCTTTAACCTCTTCCTTTGGGACACTCTGTGTTGCTTTCTCCAAGATGTCCGCGACCTCCAGCAAGTCCTTGCAGAAGCCCTGGATGCCTAAACAAAGTGAAGATACCATCATTTGCATTCCCCATCACCGGCAGGGGCATTAGAAAGCTCTAACCCTGCTGACCTCATGCATAAACTATTGAAAAATAACATTTCAAACTATTCATCTGTCCTCAAATTTCAAAGGTTTAAAAAAAAAAAAAAACAACCTACCATAAAGCCCAAAAAAGAGATCTTTTCTGGGTTTAGACAACAGCTAATTAGGAACGGAGACAAACAGCTCCCAAAGGGCAAAACCATCTCACCATCAATCCCGGCCCAGGTGAGGACACAACACCTTAGCCACAGGACACCTCACCCCCAAGGACATGATGCTGAGGGAGCGGCAGCTGCCCTGCCAGCACTGTGGGGTCCAAGTTTCCAGGACACACCGAAGCCTTAACCCTAACCTAACCGGAAATCATGTATGACAAGTCAAACTTCAAGGCAGTGTATTGTATCAAATTGCTTGTGGTTTCAAGAAAAGGCTATAAGGGACGCCTGAGTGGCTCAGTGGCTGAGAGTCTACCTTTGGCTCAGGGCGTGATCCTGGGTCCGGGGATGGAGTCCCACATCGGGCTCCCTATGGGGAGCCTGCTTCTCCCTCTCCTTCATGTCTCTCATGAATAAATAAAAAAAATTTAAAGACTACAGATGCTAAATGGAAATCAGGGGTGACCGGGGGCTCCAAGTGGGCATCTGCTTCAGCCAGGCCAAGACCGGGCACAACGGCATCACCTCACACTCAACTCTGCAGGAGGCAATGCCAGTGTACAACTTTCTTATCACAATACTTTCCCCTCCTGCTTTAAAATGAAACCGAAAAATGTCTGCTTATCTGATAAAATCATGGGCGTCTATCATGGATCAAGCGTGTACCAGTTCTCAGGATGGTCTGCCCTCATGGAATGTATGGTCTGAGATAGGCATCAAATAATCACACGAATAGACACAATTACAAATCCCACCTCCACGAAGGAGCATTCCTCAGGGCTGAGGAAAGATTATACCAAGGAACTTAATCATTTAGACTTGGAGACTCAGAGAAGTCTGTGAACCAAGGCCTGAAGGACAGGCCTAAACATTCAAGGACTAAAGGACAGCCAGTGCACAGGAAGAGGCAGACTCAGAGTAGCTGAAGGTTCCAGGTGGAGTAGCACAATGTGTGGACGTGGTGTGGTCACACTGTGCAGGCATACCTCACAAACACTGCAGTTCTAGCTGCAGACACCCCAACACAACAAGTATCTCATAGAGCGAGTCAAATGAATTTTTTGGTTTCTCAATACATACAGAAGTTATGTTTATGCCATAGACTATTAAGTGTGCGGTAGGTAGTACGATGTATAAAAAAAATCACACATACCTTAAAAATATCTTTTTGCTTAAAAAATGTTGATTATCATTTGAGCTCTCAGTGAGGTATGAGCATAACAAATATGGTAATAATGAAAAACTGAAACTACTGTGAGAATCACCAAAATGTGACACAGAGACACGAAATGAGCAGACATTAGTGGAAAAAATGCTTGGTCGACACAGGGTTGTGTTGCCAACAACAACACAAAGGTTGCCAACAAACCTTTGATCTGTAAAAACTGCATTATCCGTGAAGCACAGTAAAGTGAGGTAAGGCTGTATTCCAAAATCACTTTGGCTTAGAGTGTGGCAGGGTGAGTACTGAAGCCGCCTGGGGTCAGGGTGATGGCAGTGGAGGAAGTGGACAATTGGGGGGCCAGCCACTCAGGGCTTGTGGGATTGGGGAAATACGAGGATGAGGGACAGGAACTGGTCACCTCAGATTCCTGCCCTAAGTAAGCTCCAGGAAAGAGGACACTATCCTCTACTAAAATAAGGAAGAAAAGCAGACAGAGGGAAAGTTAAAATACCCACAAGACATCCAGGGGAAGACAATGCGTAAACAACAGGACAGATGGGACTAGAACTCACAAGAAATGTTGGAGCCTCAAAGAACCTGTGTGTGGGTCTGATAGAGGGCAGGCCGCCCAGGGAGCATGTTGAGAGGAAGGGAGGCCTGGCCCTGCTCCCCAAAGGACCCAGACATCTAGAGGCCAGGCCAAGAGGAAGCCAACGAATGGCATTTCCAGAAAGAGGAATAAGAAGTATTTCCAGAAGAAACTCATTATATGCTAAATGTGGCAGCACGAGACTGGATCTTGGTTCTCACGTGTCTGTACTTGTGCGTCTGTCCTTGGGCAAGTCTGTGACATGTTGCTGTGAGCCTGAGGGGCTTCTTCAATAACGTGGGAGAATGGTGCCTGCCAGTTCGAGCAGACGGTTCCATGAGGACTCAAATTGCACCTTTACATTTAACTGACACACCACAGGCATGGTGTCGAGAGCCCTGGCCTCAGCATGGCTACCGCCACCCCCCAGCTTTGTGATGAGCGGCAAGTCATTTAAGCCTCAATGGTCTCAAATGTAGAATGGGAAGGACGGTGACAAGTGTCCAAATACTGACATTGCCGACAGCATCTTAGATCTTTTTAATATGTTACTGCTAAGTGAGCTACGGAAATGACCATCAGTGAGGCTGACCTGCTGAGATGAAATGACCATCAGTGAGGCTGACCTGCTGAGATGATCTGCAGCCTCAGATACCCTCAGATTAACCCAGGTCTTCACGCCGAAGAGCGACACACACTCTTCACTGAAGGAATTACACTTATAATTCTAGAGGCAGGTCACAGCTGTGATGTTTGCTCCTCAAAGACCCACCTTGACTGGAGGGAACACACCCAGTAGCCTCCCCACCTTCCGACCTGGCTGATTCTGTGGTTCCACAACCACAGAGGTACCCCGCCCACGTTCCCTGCCCCTATTTTTCTAGGATCGATATCAGATAGTGTCTAAAGTTACCATATAATTTTGCCTCCTCCACTAATTTTTGGCTCCTCTGCCTCAGGTTTTCAGTGTCTGCCAAAGCTCGCTTGTATTTCTCCTAAAAAAGGGGCGAAGAAGAAATTTACATGAATAAAGCATGGCACAAAGAAAGCAAATGTGAGGGGAAGAAATTCCAAGTCCAAGTAACATCCGTTATGATGTGTGACATCTTAGTCTTCAGGCAGCACAGCTTACTGAGAAGCAAGCAGTTTTGCTGTGTCGCTATTTCCAATGAGGGGGGAGTAGGGGTTGAGGGGTCACTTCCTTGTGTAGCCCCCAGTGACCAGCTGGGTAGGGATATCATGGTTCTGATAGGCTCACTGGCCTGCGGAGGGACCACTTACTCCCACAGAATTTTCAAGTTCAGGGAATCCGAGAATGCTGGTCGGGGTGGCTGCACCCAGATCCCACGCCTCCAGGAGAGGTTCAGGAGAACCACCAGCCCACAGAAGACATAAAACCCCATCTGTGAGCCGCTGGTATTATGCCTGTTGCCCAAAGGCTGCGTCCCAACACTGAGTGGGTAACACCCACCCAATGCTGGCACCATCTCCACTTCTCACCAGTTTTCCTGTCATGCTGCTCACCTCCTGAGCACTTCTACCAGAATGCAGACCCACTGCTCCACATCTCTGCCTTTCACCCGTCCTCCATCTGCAGGTGATTCTAGTGCAGTGGTGAAGAACAACGGTCCTGAGGCTCAAACCTGGGTTCTGCCACTCGGTAGCTAAACAACCTGGGGAATGTTACCTAACCTTTCTGTGCCTCAGTTTCCTCATCTATAACCAGGGCTCTCACAGTTGACTCACAGTGAGGATTACTATCAATAAGGTGGTTAGAATAGGGCCAGCATAGAGTGTTTGATATGATCACTTTCAAATATTTAACTTGATTTGTGCCACCTATGCCTTTTCACGTAAAGTAATAACGCATCCTTCTAACTAGTTCACTAGTCCTCCCCTCATGAGGGCACCACATAACCACACCTCTGGCCCCAAACCATCTTCCCCTAAGACCCAGCTTAAGTGCTGCAGTGCTCTTCACTTGTAAAGACTGTCTCAAGTCTCAATTCAATATTATCTAGACAGCATGTGAAGACTCTCATGACAGAACCAAAGCCACATAGTTCTTAGAAAAATGACCAAACTCATCTGGCCAGAGGTCGTCTGAAGAACCTCCCCTGGAGTTCAAAAGATCACACCTCCCCACAAGAACCTGCGTGACCTTACCACGGTCTCCTTCAGCTGCTCTTCTAGCTTGACCTTCTCGTCCATGAGTGTCTTCTCTGTAGAGGGAGTATCTGTCTTCTGTTCATTTTGACCCACATCCTCTTCGAAGTTCCGGCCATTGTTCTTCTGTTTTGTAGCTGTGCACAACAGCCGAGGAGATGGCCTAAACCAAGTCCACAACACTGAATCAAGACTATGGGTTTTTTTGCTAAAAAGTCAGATGTTTAATTTCAGGAATTTGAGATAATTTAAAACTACTTGCTACTGACCTACGGGGGAGAATTTAGTAATAAAAGCAAATGGTACATTATGTACACAAGCAGCTAACTTACGTAAAATCTTCTGTAATGTGTCTAAACTAGTATGTCAGTGTACCAAGGCCATAGTACTAACCTCTTCTTTCCATTCCACACACCTCCTCCTGAGAGATGGTCAGGCAGAACCATCACATATTGATGGAGTAGCTACTATTACAGATGAGGCCCAGTGCTGATGTTGATGACAAAGATGGGCTGGGCAGAGATCTCACCCCTGGGGTACTTACTGTCAAAAAAGACATCTACAAAGTACCGTAATTTTGGGTTTTAAAGTGATAAAAGAGGAACCATGCTTTGGGAGGCTCACAGTAGAATGTAGCTTTGGGGAAATGAGAGACCATGAAAGGCTCTGTACAGAGGTCCTCTGAAAGATGTGTATAAGGAGTCAGCTTTGGAGGCTGGAAAGCTGGGGGATGTACAGAGGGAAACAAAGAGCACTAAACCTAATACTGGAAGTGACTCAAGATGTTATCCAATCTGATCCCCACATGAAAAAGGTTACGTGGTAAGTCCAAGGTCACAAAGTTATTAATGTATGACAGAATGATTTCAAAACTCAGATTTCTTCTAAAAGTTCTCCTCAATTGCACATTTCAATCTGAAAATAAACTACAGTTGATTTTCTTCCCAGATTAAAGGAAACTGCCTCAAAGACTAGGAGAGCTATCAGTACAGAAAACGTGTACAAAGACATTTCTGGCAGCACCGGGCAGCAACAAGCTGGGGGCACCGCGGACTGCACTGTGCTTCCACAGTCTGGAAAGCAATGCGGCTGCCAAAGTGGGCGTCAAGCTATCCTCTCTGTGATCCGCTCCAGGTGTGCTGTGCTGTGCTGTGCTGTGCAGTCAACAATGCGATTCAGGAAAAGGGACAAAACATGAAGCCACTTCTGAAAGGGCGAACCAGAAGTCCTGTGTATGCAGACCCGTGTCTTGGGCCTGGAGAAGAACCCAAGGATCCATCAGTCGGTCGCTACCAGGCTGGAACGCAGGAGCCTTTCTACCATATTTTGTGATTTAAAAAAGCTAATAACGCGACTGCGGTGCGATCCCGGGGTGTGGCCGTCACAGCCATCCCGCCCGCGGAGGCGCCGGGAGCAGTGGGGTAGGGGACGCAGCAGGGCGGGCTCAGAGAGGGAGACGGAGTCAGAGCGCCCGCCAGCCCCTGCTGGGAGCTCGCTCACTCCACAATACTCGTTGGCAAGGCCAGAAACTAACCCTGCCCCGGCGACGCTTTCCTGGCGACTAGCTCAGATCACAAAACCACGAATTACGTGACCAAAAATAACAGCCTCTCCCCGAGGCCCCCGGGCGGTCACTGCCCTCCGTGTTACCGGGTCCCCCCCCCCCGCCGGGTGTCCCGCCCCCGCGGGCACGCTCCTCCGGCCCAGGGTGCCGAAGCCCCGCCGCTCACCGCACGGGGCAGGAGGGCACCGGCCGCCGAGCCCCCGCGGACGCGCTCGAGCCTCCCTCCACGGCGCCCGGGCTCAGGAAGGCACCGCGGCGCAGGGGAACGAGCCCGAGCGCCGCCCGCGGCCCCCGCGCGCGACCTGGCCCTGGAGGGGCGCCGGGCGCCGGGCGCCGGGGCGCGAGCGGGGTGCGAGGGGGTGAGGGGGGTGAGGGGGCCGCCACGCGGGCGAGTGCGCGCCGGAGGCCCCGGCCGAGGAGCAGGCGCCGGGGCGGGGGGGGCGGCTCGCGCGCGCCGACGACGCCCGCTCCCGGGCCCAAGCGGCGCAGGGCCCCGCCCGAGGAGGAGCCGCCCTGGGGGCCGCGCCTCTCCTGGGTCACAGGCAGCCGGGCGCCCCTTACCTGAGACACAGCGCCAAAGCCGGGAGGCTGCGCCGCGCCAGCCTCACGCACCGAGCCGCCATGACTGTCGTCGCCGCCGTCGGCACCGCGCACGCACCGGGCCTGCGCGGAGGCCTCTGGCTCGCCCCCTCGAGGGCCTGGCCACTCGCGCAGACCCGTGTCTCCTTCCCCGCCCAACCGCGTCTCTCCAGCCATTCCGGAGCCGCTTCCCCTTTGATGGACAGACGGTGCTACCCAATAACTGTGGGTCACTGCACAGCTCTCCCTCGCCCCGCCCCCTCACCGCCCTGGTGGGCGGGGCCTGGGGCTTCCGGAGCCCCAGAAGGTGAGGAGGTGAAAGGTCAAGGGAACTGTGGGAGGAGACGCTCGCGGGCGGGGCGCGGTCAGGGTACGACCAATGGGGGAGAAGCGTGGGGGGGCGGGGCGCCGGAAGTGCGGCGCTGGGCGCGCGAGACTCGGTTTGCGCGACTCCTCGGCCTTTCCGGGAGCGGGCCGGGGCGGGGCGGGGCGCAGCGCAGCGGGGGACCCCTAGGTCCTGACGTTTTCACTCATCTGGCGACGCCATCTCTACAGGATCACGGGCCCTGAAGCCCAGGTGCCGCCCCTGGGCTGCTGTCCCTCCGAGGGGTCCCGGGAGCTCTGACTTGGCTCCTGCTCCAGCTCTGCCGGGCCGAAGTCCCGTCCGCCGGCGGGAGGGACGGCTGGAGCCCCTGCCCGCGCACCCCGGGACCGAGGGACGGACGGACGGACGGAGGGAGGGACGGAGCCCCTGCCCGCGCACCCCGGGACCGAGGGACGGACGGACGGACGGAGGGAGGGACGGAGCCCCTGCCCGCGCACCCCGGGACCGAGGGACGGACGGACGGACGGAGCCCCTGCCCGCGCACCCCGGGACCGAGGGACGGACGGACGGACGGAGGGAGGGACGGAGCCCCTGCCCGCGCACCCCGGGACCGAGGGACGGACGGACGGACGGACGGAGGGCGGAGCCCCTGCCCGCGCACCCCGGGTCGGACGGACGGAGCCGTGGTCTCCCCCACTCCCGCAGGGTGAAAGCCGGAGCCCGTGGTCCCGCCCAGGGTGGAGGACTGGGGATCCGGTCTCCAAGGTGGATCACATTCCTGAGGACCAAGCCTCTGCTCTTTGCCCCGCTCTCATTAAAATTCTTGAAAATGTTGCACCAACATCGACACTGTGCCAGAGTCCGTGACACCTGCAGGGACAGGCGGGCAGCCAAATCCAGGAGGTGGGCTGTTCTGTGGAAAGATGACCCAGCTTATGGATTAATTAAGGGGCTGGAGGAAAAGAAAGGAAGTGAACCGGTTGACAATGGAAGCTTAAAGACATGATTAAATGGATGTCTGGACCTTCTTTGGATCACGATAGAGCAAACCAACTGTACAAAAGGTATTTGTGACAAAGTGAAATGCGAACATAAACAGTATCAGTAAGGAAGGAGTTACGTTAAGGAGAGAGGATGGCCCGGTGGCTGGGTAAGAATGTCCGGATTGTTTAGAGATGCAAACAGAAGTATTTGTACTATATTGCCACAGTGTTTAGGATTGGCTTTATAAATACTCTTGTAAAAAAAAACAACAACAACAAAAACAGGACAGGAGAAACTCAGTGGCAAAATGTTGATAGTTGAGGCTGGATGGTGAATACCATCTGAGTTATGACTCTTCTTTTGTATATTGGAAATTTCCTCTAATAAAATGTAACAATAATGTCGTATTTCTCACTGGCTGTGACGTTGGGCAAGCCACTTGATTGCTCTTGGCCTCAGTCCTTGATCCACTCACCTGTAGAACTGTGATCATATTTATTGTGAAGCTTAATTTTTTAGAAGATTTTGCGTATTCATGAGAGACACAGAGAAAGAGAGGCAGAGACAGGCCGAGGGAGAAGCAGGCTCCCTCTTGGGAGCCCAGTGCAGGACTCGGTCCCCAGGACCCCGGGATCACGCCCTGAGCTGAAGGCAGACGCTCAGTCCCTGAGCCACCCAGGCGTCCTATGTTGTGAAGTTTAAAAGAGACAAATACTCATTTCCTAACTTCTTTGGGCTCAGAGGGAATCAGATGGGCATCCCAAATAGCTTACAGTGCAGCATGAGGGCAATCAACAGAGAGTTATAGCCACTTGGTCCCGAGACAGAGACAAGCACAGGTCGTTGCAGTGTGATGCCACACTGGGGACAGGAAGCCATGCCCTGAGTCTGGGTCCTGCCCCTCGGAACCTCCCTCCACAGGGGCTGCCTGTGCTGCCACCTGGTGGCCGTATTTGGAACCGCTCCAAGAGGGAGCTGGGGTATTACATACAAAGATGGCATTTTGCTACTGCTCTAGGGACCCAGCTCAGGTAGTTCCCTGAGGTCTTCATCAACTCAGTGCAAGTCCTCTCCACATGGCGGGGAGGCCGCTTCTCTGGGAAGAATCCTGGGAGGCCGCTTCTCTGGGAAGAATCCTGGATCAGCCCACAGAACACACTTTCAGCAAAGGGCACAGGTGGTCCGGGCAGGGATGTGGGAAAAACAAGCTTAATGGTGTATGGTGCCCCCAACAAGGAGGGGGTGACATTTAAGAAGGTGTCCTCAGGTGAGAGTTGTGCAGGTAGATGGCTCAACAGCATGTGTGCTGTGAGTGTGATCCTCACAATAGACGAGAGCTGGTGGGTGCCAGGGTCTGGGCAGATGTCCTTTCGGATCAGCACACAATATGGTGATGAGGGGACAAAGCCCAGCCAGGTTAGGTGACTTCTTCAAGGTCATGAAGGCAGAAAAAGGCAGAGTTTTTTTTTTTTTAAAGATTTTATTTATTTATTTATTTATTTGAGACACACACAGAGAGAGAGGCAGAGACACAGGCAGAAGGAGACGCAGGCTCCATGCAGGGAGCCCAATGCAGGACTCCATCCCGGGACTCCAGGATCATGCCCTGAGCCAATGGCAGGCGCTAAACCGCTGAGCCACCCAGGGATCCCCAAGGCAGAGCTTTTGTATATTTCCCTCGACCAATCTCAACTTCCGTGTGGCCGTCAGATGTGAAGCCAGATCCTGCATCTGTCCACCCAGAGTGTTGGCTCCTGCCACAAACCGCATTATTACCATTGTCCCTGAGCAGGGACATGGATTTTCATCCTTTTGTCCAACTCTGAAATAAACCAATAAAAAGCATGGTCGGGGCATCTGAGTGGCTCAGTTGGTTGAACGTCTGACTCCTGATTTCTGCTCAGGTCATGATCTCACCGTCCTGAGATCAAGTTCTGCATTGGGTTCCATGCTGGTCATGGAGTCTGCTTGAGAGTCTCTCCCTCTCCGTCTGTCCTTCTCCCACTTTCTTTTTCCATCTCTAAAACGAAAACGGGCATAACAAGTGTGGTAGCCATCTAAAGATGGGCCCCAAGATACCCATCCTCTGGTTATCCCATCCAACACAAATCCTGATGCTCTGAAGGCACTTTGCAGATGTAACAAAAGGTTCAAGCCAGTTGGCCTTCCTGGAGATTATCCATCCAGTGGGGTTGACCTTGGGGAGTCCTTTAAAAGTGGAGAGGTTCCTCCAGCAGGGGATGTCAGAGAGCTTCAGAGCGCGAGAACATGTTGGATGGCCTCTCCCACTTGGGAGCTGGAAGGGCCGTGTGAAAGTGAAGGCAGTGTGCAGCCTTGGGGGCAGAGGGTGGCCCTCGGCTGACTGTCAGCAAGGAACTGAAGATCTGCTGTTGCCCGGAGCTGGACTCCATGGGCAACCTGAAGGAACCCCCTGGGAGCCCTGCCTGCCAGCTCTTGATTCTGTGAGGCCTGGGGTGCACTAGGCCACCAAATAATCATGCAGGGTGGGCATTACCTTTATGGTCTGGGCTTTATTGGATTGTGTTTTGGATCTCAGCATGTGGAGTGGATCAGTCATAAGCCTTGCTCCCTTTTTCATCACCCAGGCTCATTCTTGGCCCACTTTTGATTGTTCCTTTGTTTTGGTGGCCAAATCCTCCGCCCCAAGGAAACCAGGGTTGGGAGACCTGTCTGGACGAGAGACCTGATTTCTGGCAGCAAATTGTCCACCACTTGTCCCTAGCACGCTGGCTCCAAGTAGAAAGGAAGTTCTGGGTAAGAAAATGCCACCAGGCATCGAAAGATGAATGGATAAAGAAGATGCGGTTTATGTATACAATGGAATATTACTCAGCCATTAGAAACGACAAATACCCACCATTTGCTTCAACGTGGATGGAACTGGAGGGTATTATGCGGAGTGAAGTAAGTCAGTCGGAGAAGGACAAACAGTGTATGTTCTCATTCATTTGGGGAATATGAATAATAGTGAAAGGGAATATAAGGGAAGGGAGAAGAAATGTGTGGGAAATATCAGAAAGGGAGACAGAACATAAAGACTCCTAACTCTGGGAAACGAACTAGGGGTGGTGGAGGGGGAGGAGGGCGGGGGGTGGGGGTGAATGGGTGACGGGCACTGAGGGGGACACTTGACAGGATGAGCACTGGGTGTTATTCTGTATGTTGGTAAACTGAACACCAATAAAAATTAATTTATTTAAAAAAAAAAAAAAAGAAAGAAAATGCCACCAGGGATCCCTCGGTGGCGCAGCGGTTTGGCGCCTGCCTTTGGCCCAGGGCGCGATCCTGGAGACCCGGGATTGAATCCCACGTGGGGCTCCCAGTGCATGGAGCCTGCTTCTCCCTCTGCCTGTATCTATGCCTCTCTCTCTCTCTCCCTCTGTGTGTGACTATCATAAAATAAATAAAAATTAAAAAGAAAATCTACACTTAAAAAAAAAAAAAAAAGAAAATGCCACCAGAAGGGGCCACAGAGGTTCCCATTGAAATAACTGGGCACTTGGGTGGCTCAGTGGTTGAGCATCTGCCTTTAGCTCAGGGCGTGATCCTGGGGTCCTGGGATCGACTCCCACATCAGGCTCCCTGCATGGAGCCTGTTTCTCCCTCTGCCTGTGTCTCTGCCTCTCTCTCTGTTTCTCATGAATAAATAAATAATCTGAAAAAAGAAAAAAAATAGCTTTCTGCAAAAAGCTGTATCAGTTGCATGGAGAAGAAAGTGAATGCAACAGTAACTCAGCATGTTTTCTGAGAACATTGGACAGACAGCAGTTAGAACCAGCTGCTCCAGGTGTGGTCAGGGGCCCGCTGTGGGTGCAGGCTTCTCTTCCCCAGAGGTGGGGAGAGGGTGGCTTTGGCTTACCTGAAGGAAGGAGGGAGGAGGCGGCGAGCCCTTCGATCCCGGGGAGAGCTTCTTACAAAGTCTGTGGACATGAGAGATTGTTTGAATCTAAGGCTGATTGAATTGTTCACCACAAGCCCCCTGCGTTTGGAACCCTCCTGTGTGTTGGTCGAATTTATCATCAGCCAGAAAGAAATCAGAGAGCCACGAAAAGCACTGTGGGTGAGGATTGGCAGGATGGATGGTTTCTCATTAGAAAAATAACGGGGATTATTATAGAGGCAATGGAAGATGCAAATGGTGGGGTCACCTCGGTGCAGCAGCCTTCTCCCACCTTCTGCAGCTCTCTCGCATCCCCGGGAGGAAGCTGAGGGCCTGTGTTCTTTGTTTCCCCCCTGACCCTGCGCTAGGATTGATCACAAGCCCACGGGGTCTGTTCTCTCCGTGGTGGATCTCAGCAGCCTGTGGTTACAGGGCCTGGTGCTCAGTGTGACCCCACTGAGTGGATGTAAGCCCCAGGGCCCCTGGGAAGTCTGAGCAGAAAAAGCTCACTGGTGACTAGATCAGAATGTCATCCCTTGTCATGAAATTAGAGCTGTGTCGTCACGGATTGGACCGCTTTTCCCTGAGGTGTGAAAACTCAGAAAACACCTTCTCCAAAGGGAGTTTGCAAAACTAAAGATCTTTTTCCAGAAACAAAGCCAGTGATGGAAGGCCACAGGAAAGCAAACTGGGGCTTGGCCAGGCCTGGGACCCTGGGGAGAAGCCCATCCTCCTGCCAGTCCTCTGCCTGTCTGCCCACGCCATGAGCCACAAACAGCATCCTGAGAGCCCCACGTGGTGCCACAGACAGCCAGTGCTGAGCTTTGTTTCTGGAACAAGCAGCCTCTGGGTAGGAAGCAAACACACTTTGGTCCAGAACCTGCTCTGCTTCTCAAAAATTGGGTTTCAAAAACACACACAATGTTTTATTTTTTTAAAGATTTATTCATGAGAGACACACACAGAGAGAGAGAGAGAGGCAGAGACACAGGCAGAGGGAGAAGCAGGCTCCCTGCGGGGAGCCCGATGTGGGACTCCATCCCAGGACCCCAGGATCACGCCCTGAGCAGAAGGCAGATGTTCAACCCCTGAGCCACCCAGGTGACCCACATGTATAATGTTTTAAGGAGGTTTTGCAGGATGATTCTCTTTTGCTGCTGGTGGTGATGGTGGTGGTGGTGATGGCTGCGGGAAGGGAACATCATTTGCCTGTTCTTTCCGAGGACCCACTATGTGCCAGGGTCCCCACGTGAGGAGACGGGTGTCTGGAGCCCCATGACCCTGGGGTAGGGAAGGCGGGAGACCCTGGTCTGAGGGTCCGAGTCCCCGTTCCAGAGCCAAAATCCTGTCCCTGGAAGCCCTTTCTTCATTCATGAGGCATGTCCACACCCGTCCCCGCCGGAAGAGCCACATACAGATAGGCCCCATTTGCCTAATTTGCTTTGAGCCGGGCTTCTGTCGCTTACCACTGACGGTTGTCCCCATAGTGCCTCCTGATGGTCACATCAGGGGCAGGCGCGGCTGTAACCCCCGTGGACAGAGGAGGGACCATGCCGAGTCCAGGGTGCAGGTGCCACCCTCTGATGCTCTGGGCCTCGTGTTCTTTCCAGCACCCACTGTTCCCTGTCTCGGTAAGTGCATCGGGGTCCCACAGTGTGGCTGCTTCACCATGATCTCGATGACAAGGCCAGAACCCAGGGCCAGAGCTTGAGCTGGAGCCGTGTCTGTGTGTCTGTGCATGTGTCTGTGTATCTGTCTTTGTGTGCGCGCACATACATGCATGTGTGTTCTGGCTCTGGGAACCTCAGTCCCCGTGTTATTTCACTTTTCAGACCCAATGGACGTCTGACTCCCGCTGTGACTTTTGCTGCTACTTTCCCCCTGTTTCCCCATCTGGGGGTTCATCCCAGCTGCGTCCAGGCAGTGTGAGCGAGTCCTAACATCCGTTCAATGACAAGACTGTGCGCCTGCTGCAGGGAAACCTCCAGCCTGCCCTCAAACATGACGCTTGCTTGCATCAGGGGCTCTGGTCCCCCACCTCTGGGCAGGTCGGTGGGGTGGAGGCAGAGTGAGTGGGGCTGAGTAGAGAAGCCCAGGAAGGAGGCCAGATGCCAGGCCTCACCCTGCCCTCCAGAGAACTGTTGAGTTTCCACAGTTTCCATCTAGAAATCCATGGAGAGATGTTTTGGTTTCTACCAACTTATCAGACAATCAGGTAAGATCCAAGTGCCTAGGCCTAAAGACTTTTGAACGTTAAAGGTATCTGGGATGAGAAATTGCACTCTTAGGTGTTCACCTGAAGGCACTGAGAGTAGGAACTCAGAGACATTTGTCATGTTCGTGACAATATTGTTCCCAGTAGCTGAGAGGTGGAAGAGGCACCAGGCCCTTGGATGGAGGTACAGAAACGCAGTGCGGCCCATCCGTGCAACGCAATGTTATTCAGCAGATTCAGGTTCCCAGGTTCCCAGGGGGTTCCTTCAGGTTGCCCATGGAGTCCAGCTCCGGGCAACAGCAGATCTTCAGTTCCTTGCTGACAGTCAGCCGAGGGCCACCCTCTGCCCCCAAGGCTGCACACTGCCTTCACTTTCACACGGCCCTTCCAGCTCCCAAGTGGGAGAGGCCATCCAACATGTTCTCGCGCTCTGAAGCTCTCTGACATCCCCTGCTGGAGGAACCTCTCCACTTTTAAAGGACTCCCCAAGGTCAACCCCATTGGATGGATAATCTCCAGGAAGGCCAATAAGGAAGAAGATTCCGACACCTGCCATAACATAGTTGAAACTGGACAATATTGTGCTCAGCAAAAGCAAGCCAGGCAATAAAAGGACTAATATTATGTGATTCCACTTGTAGGGAATACCCCGAATAGGCAAGTCTGTAGAGACAGCAGTAGTGGTTACGAGGGGCTCAGGAGGGACGGGGGGGGGGGGGAGCAAGTGTGTCATGGGGACAGAGTTTCTGTTTGGAAAGTTCTGGAGATGGATGGGGTGATGGCTACACAACAAAGTAAATGTACGTAAAGTCACTGAGCTGTATTCTAAAAAGTGTCTAAAATGGCTAATTTTAAGTTGTATATATTTTGCCGCAATTTAAAAAATAATGTAAAAAAAATTAAAAACCTGATATGGGTTTGGAAACATTTTGCCAGAAGTGGGAATGGACATGCTTAGGGAAACCCTGACAGAGAATCAGGAATGGAAGGGTGTCGCACCTGCTCGAAGCCTCTTGCTTTGGGCAGGTCCTCTGCATCGTCGTGGTCAAACATGAAAGACCAATAAATTACCTACTTCTCACAAAAACAAGATTGATCCATGTTATGGCCCATTTACATTGTAAATCTACAATGAGGATGAGAAAATAAAAACAAAACCACCAGGTCCAGAACCTTGACTGGGTGTTATAAATTGTGCCCTCTCAAAATTTAAATGTCGAGGTCTTAACCCCCAGGACCTCAGAATGTGACCTGATTTGGAGAGAAGGTCTTTGCAGGGTCATCAAGTTAAAATGAGGCCACCAGGGTGGGCCCCAGTCCAACACAGTAGGTGTCCTTATAGAAAGGGGACATGTGGGGGCACCTGGGTGGCTCAGTGGTTGAGCGTCTGTCTTTGGCCCAGGGCGTGATCCTGGGGTCCTGGGATTGAGTCCTGCATCAGGCTCCCTGTAGGGAGCCTGCTTCTCTCTCTGTCTGTGTCTCTGCCTCTCTCTCTGGGTCTCTCATGAGTAAATAAATAAATAAAATCTTAGGAAAAAAAAAAAGAAAGGGGACATGTGGACACAGGGAGAGTGCTGTGTGAGGATGGATGCGGAGATGGGCAGCATGTCTGTGGCCAGGGAGAGTGGAGGAGGCCCGCAAACCCCAGAAGCAGAGTGGTGGAGAGGCCGGGAACAGATCCTCCCTCAAGGCCCCAGGAGGAGCCAAGCCTGCCCACCTTCAGCCTCCAGCATTGTGAGACCAGGAGATCCTATGGTTAGAGCCAGCCAGTTTGTGGTCCTTTGTCACCTACCTAGGAAACTCAGATGCTCGGCTTCAAGCAACAGAAATTATTTCTTGCTGCTACGTCTGCGTCCAGATTTCCCTTTTCTTTTAAGGCACCAGTCATATCGGAGTAGAGCCCGCTTGACTCCTTTGGGGCTTCGTCCTATCTAATTACACCTGCAAAGTCTTTCCCAAAAGGTCACATTGACAGGCACTGGGGCTTAGGAATTCAAAGTGTCTGTCGAGGGGTTACCATGTAACCCACCACAATCTGCCCACCAAATGCATGCCCTTCTCATATGCAAAGTACATTTCCACTCTCTATCCCACAGCCCCCCATCTCAACCCTTCTGGCATCTAAGTACCGTCAGATCAGAGTCAGACCTTTACTCCTTTCGGTGTGTTGAGGTCTGGGCGGAGGGCACGCTCAGGGAATGTTTAGTGGAGAATACAGAATTCCTGCTCCCATTCCCATGCTCTGCCCCAGGGCAAAGTAGAACAACTGCCACCACCACAAGCATTTACTGGCTCCCTCACCGATCCCTGCCCACCTACTGGGATTGCTCTTGGGATCCTGCCCTGTGTCAATCAGAGGGAATCCTGAGGCTGGAAGGAAGTACTTGGCTTCTTCCATCAAGATGCTTATCTCACTGTTTTGTGATTGTTTACCTAAAACAACTTGAAAAATGTGCAAGGTTGCATTTTGTAAAACTGAAACTGTTTCTGCTGATTTTTGTTTCTTCTTGCAGAGACTTCATGTCGCTAGATAGAACTGAAGTGTTTTTCAGTCCAAGTCTGGGGTTTGGATACAAACTGAGCAAAAATTAAAAAAAAAAAATCTGTAGGATCTGTAATGATGTCATCTTTCAGTCCTGGTAATTAGCACTTTCTCTCTTTTTTTTTCCCTGATCTGTTTAACTAGAGTCTGTAAATTTCATCCACCTTCTCAAAAGACTGGCTTTCGATTTTACAGATTTTTCTCTATATTGTTTTTTCTATGTTCCATTTCATTGATTTCTGCTCTCATTATTTCTTTTCTGCTATTTACTTGGAGTTTCATTGGTTCTTTTATTTCCATTTAAGGGAGAAGATGAGGTCAATAATTTACCTTACCTTTATCCTTAAAGATATTTTCTTAGGCAGCTTTATTGAGATATGATTCACACACCACAACTCACTTTTTTAAGGTGTATCCTTCAGTGGTTTTCGGTATATTTACAGACGTGTACAACTATCACCACAATTAGTTCTAGAACATTTTTGTCACCACCAGAAGAAACCCTGTGCCCATTAGCGGTCACCCCCCTCCTTTCCTCCCCTAGATCCCGGCTACCTCCTATATAGATTTTCCTCTCTAGGACATTTCATATAAATGGAGTCATATACTATGCAGTCTTTTGCGACTGGTTTCCTTTATTTGGCAGAATGTTTTAAAGGTTCATCCATATGGTAGCACATGTCAGTACCTCATTCCTTTTTTTTTTTTTTTTAGTTTTTTATTTTTTATTTTAGAGGCAGAGAGAAAGAGCACAAGCAGGAGGGGCAGAGGGAGAGGGAGAGAGAGAATCTCAAGCATCCTCCCCTTGAGCATGGAGCCCCATGCGGGGCTCAATTCTGTGACCCCAAGATCATGACCTGAGCTGAAACCAAGATTCAGATGCTTAACTGACTTCACCACCCAGGCACCCCAGCACTTCATTCTTTTTTATGGCTGGAAATATTCCACTATATTCCATTGTATGGATCTAGTCCATTTGTTTATGCATTCACCACTCAGTGGACCTTTGGATTGTTTCTATGTTTTGCTACTATGAATCATGGTGCTATAAACATTCATGTACATATTTTTATGTGGACATATTTCCATTTTTATGGGGCACATCCCCGGGAGTGGAATTTCTAGGTCATATGGTAACTCTGTTTAACCATTGAGGCAGCACCAGACGACTTTTCAGAGCAGCTGTACCATTTTCCGTGCCCACCAGCAGTGCGGGAGGTTGCCCATTTCTCCACAGCCACGCCAACGCTTGCCGCTACCTGACGTTTAGACTGCAGTCATTCTGGAGCTGCTCAGGTGCTGCCCAAGATGACAGATTCAACAGCTGTTGATAAGCATCCACATGCTGTTTTTCATCTTTTCAGAGCTCATGACATTGTCTCTTCCTGCTGGGCCTCCTCTTCTCTCTTCTCCCCATGACTGGTCTCACGGGGGTACTTCCCCCTGCCCACCCTCGAGGATGCACTCACATCTCTTATCCTTTATCGTACGCTGTGAATGCCAACACGAGGCCAGGCCACTGTCTTTGGGGAACAGCTAAGGGAACAGGTGGTTCAAGTGCAGACTACCATCCCAGATGGTGGAAAGGGAGGAAACAGAAAGAGAAGGTTCTGGAAGGAAGAGCATGGAATGCATGCAGGGCAGCTGTTGGGGGAGCCAGTGAGAAGAGGGGCTTGGAGGATAGATGTTAGCCTCTGCCTCTGCAGGATATTCTCTCAGAAGGGGCAATGTTCTGGGTGGGAGGAAGCATGGCTTCCAGTGTCGCCTCTGCCACTGGTTTGCAGGGTGACACTCTCTTGACTCTCTGGGACCCTGTCCCTGTCTGTGAAAAGGGATGAGGACAGCCTGCTGAGACTTCACACAGTTGCTGTGATTCATTCATTTGCTCATGTACTGAGCCATTCCAGGACCGGGGGTGGGGGGGTGGGGGCGGTGTCAGACAGGAGGAGGGATGCCAGGTCTCAGTCTGTGGTAAGTAGCTATAGTTATTGGTTGACGTAGGGCCCTTCAAGTCAAACTTGCACCATGAAGGACCTGTGGGTAGAAGGGAGGGGTTTGGGACCCACATAAAGAACGTGATCACCAGAGGTAGTGAGCTTGCTGTCAGTGGAGGAAATCGGGCAACTGCTGGCTGACCTAGCAATTACAACGAAAGGTGATGCGTAATGTGGTGAGGATGCGGAGGAAAGGCCCAGAGGGTGAGGGCAAAGTGACAGGGAGGTCACTCAGATCGGACTTTAATCCTAGCCCAAAGTAATGGGGATCTGGGAAGCCACTTGGGCAGAACTTCCGAGTCATCAGGATGGCAGGTGGATTTTGCAGCAGCTGTCTGCAAGCCCCTGGAGGGAGAGGAGGCTGCCTTCAGGCTGAAGGAACCCCAGGTGGACCACTGATGCCTGCTGTGGTGGCGGGAGGGGGCGCGACAGCCCTCGTGCCACAGGCCGGCTGACCCTGGTACATTGTCCCCAGAGGGAAGGACTAACCTGTGTGTTCCCTGGACCATGGGGTCCTTGAAGGCAGGGAAGGGATCTTTTATTTTCATTTCTGGATCCCCAACACCCAGCAAGGAGAGGGCCAGGTACACCTTAGGTCTTCGGAAACAGGGGGTGGGGTGGCTGGCTGTCTCGGGGGCACACGGTGTTTTGTGATCAAATCAGAGCCAGGACCTTGCAATGGTCAAGCTTATGCGTCAGCTTGGCTGGCTTCAGTCAGGGATGCTGGATAGATAGTGGCACGTTATTTCTGGGTGCGTCTGTCTCTGGAAGAGATGAGCACTCCCCAACATGGGGGGCTCTCTCCACTCCACCGAGGGCCCCAGGAGAAGGCACAGGTGGAGGAAGGGCAAATTTGCTCACCGTGCTTGAGCTGAGACGTCCCCCTCTCCCACCCTCAGACGCTGGTGCTCCGGGTGCTCCGGCCTGACAACCTGCCAGCTTGCCTGGGCCTCTAGCAGGTGGCAGATCATGGGACTTCTCGGCCTCCATGAGCTCCTGAGCCGATCCTGCAGTACATCTCTGAGATGTGTATCTCCACACATCCCACTGCTTCTGTTTCTCTGGGAAGCCCGAACTCGTACGCACCTACACCTCTGCTCCCGGGCTGGCCTCTGCTCCCGGGCTGGCTGTTCTGCGCAGCGGCGGCTCTG